CAAAAAAAAAAAAAAAAAAAAAAAAAAAAAAAAAAACAACAACCAAAACCCAAACCAAACCAAACTGGCTCACAGAATGAGCAATCATCTCTCATGAGCATGAATGAACTGCACAACACCCCGTCCCCCTTTTTGCTTTCTTCCCATCCCTGCTGTCCTTGCTTCTTTGATGCTACCCTAAGTTAGGGTGTAGTGGTGTTCCTCCTACAAATTCTTAGGAGCTGCAGTTTCCTTTCCCCCTCAGAGTTCTAACCCTTCAATCTTGATGCTTTGAGATCATCCATGTCTATTCGAGCCTTGTACCCTGGTCTCAGTCTCCTCTTTTCATCCTATAGGTTGACAGGGTCATCCTGTTTGGTGAAATGATGAATACTGAGATGCTGAATGTAGCCAAACAGATTATCTGGCAGCATGTGAATTCTAAGTGCCTCTTCGTTGGTGTCCTCCTACGGAAAGCACAGTACATGTAAGGATGCTGGTTGTTCTTGTCCAGTGTCTGTAGGCACTGATTCATATTTCCTGTTGCTCCTACAAAAGTCTCACCTATTTGGTACTTCCTTTCACTTGCCTTCTCAATTTATTAATTCTACTGAACTTAAGTTTCTGGGATGTTCTTTAAGGCCGTTTTATCCCTTTGTGATATTGGAAACTGGCCCCAGGGCTTTGCTCTTTCGAGGCTGTACTTTGGCCATATAATTCTATTAGACAAGATGGGGTACACTCAGGGTGATATGGCCTTAGATCACAAACCTATTTATTATACAGAGATGAAGTGTATATCTTTAGGTATTGGGAAATAGAGTCTAGGTATGTAGCCTAGGTTGACTTTGAACTTGCTGTCTTCCTCACTTCTTGGGCAGGTGCTGGGACTGCAGGTGTAAGCCCCCACACCTGACTCCAGGCATCCATTTTGGTGTTTAGTGACTGCTTCTTCTTTTGCCAGACCAGCAAATTTGAATCCCAATGATGTGACGCTCTCAGGCTGTACTGATGGAATACTGAAGTGAGTAGAGTGGCCATTAGAGGGGATGGAAGAGGCGTTGGAATGCCCTAAAGAGATTCTCCAGGCCTGTTGTTAGCTCATTTATTTATTTTTCAAAGTGAGGTGGTTTATTCTCTTTCCCAGATGTCTAGGCTTATCAGCAACACAATGTGATCGGGACTCCAGCCTTCACTGTCTTAATGCTTGATCACCCTCAACAGCCTGTATCTCCTGGCTGGAGATGGTGCTTCAGCTCTGCTTATATACATCCAAGTTTGTGCAATACTCAGTGGGCTGGAGGACTGGATCATCCATTAAGAGTACATACTGCTCTTGCAGAGGGCAGAGATTTGGGTCCCAGTACCCATGCCAGGTGGCTCACAACTTCTGTATACAACTCCAGCTCCAGAGGGATTTAACGGCTGCCTGCAACTCCAGGAGATTTGGTGCCTCTGGCCTCTACAGACATTACATTTCTGCTCACACATCCATAGACATACACACAGACACATAATTAATTTTTTCTTAAAAAATGAGATCTTTCCAGGTTCCTATTTTACTGAATTATTATTTGCAATTTATTTTATATTTGAATTTTTATCTCTCATAGCCTTATTTACTTCCTTATAATTTTTAGCATTTGAAATTGTAATTGTATCATTTCCCCCTTCTCTTTCCTTTCTCCCAACTCCTCCCTTGTCCCACTTTTCTTGCTTCCTCTCAAATTTGTAGTTTCCTTTTCTTTGTTATTGTTACACACACACACACAGACACACACACACACGTGTGTGTGTGTGTGTCTGTGTGTGTGTGTGTGTGTGTGTGTATGAATATATGAATATAATTTGCTCAGTTTGTTTGGTGTTACTTGTATGTGTATGATTTCAGGTCTGACCACTTGGTATTGGGTAACAAAATTAGGGGGCTCATCCCTGGGGAAGACTGTCTTCTACTCTCAGCATCCCTTAGCTGCCTGTGGGTTTTTTTTGTTTGGGGTGGGTCCCAGAGAGATTTGCCTCTTCCGTGTTAGTGGGTCTATTGCTGTTGTACTTGTTCAGTTCTTATACAGTAAGCCATGCAGAGTCATATAGACAAACACATAATTGAAACTTTTAAAAGGTATTTTTAAAAAGGAAAGGAAAACTGATTGTGGTGGTACACCATTTGAGAAGCAGTAGCAGTTTGAATAGTGAGTTTGAGATCAGTTTGGTCTACATAGTAAGTTCCAGGATAGCCAAGGCTGCATACTGAGACCCTGTCTCAAAAATAAGAAAGAAAGGAAGAGAGGGAGGGAGGGAGGGAGGGAGGGAGGAAAAGAGATATAAGAAATGGTATAACTCGTTTTTATCTTATGTGTATGAGTGTTTTGCCTATGTATGTGTATATATACTATGTGTATGCCTGTGGCCAAGGTCAGAGAGGTTGTCAAATTCCCTGAAACTAGAGTTACAAACAGATGGGTTCATCCATGGGGACATGTGGGTGGGACATGTGGGTGGTGGGAACCAAACCCATGACCCCTGGAAGAGCTTCAAGTGCTCTCTAATCTTTGTATTTGTTTCCTCACTTTGTGTTTTCTTTGTATGTCACCCATGCTCTTCAACTCACATTGGGAAGCCTCAAGCAATTGGGAACTTTTGTAGTTGGTACAGAGCTGATCACCCAAGACAGGGAAAGTCTTAGCCTGTAACCTTGGCTCAGCCATGTTTTCTTTCTTTCTCTCTCTTTTTTTTTTCTTCAGGGTTTCTCTGTGTAGCTTTGGAGCCTGTCCTGGAACTCAATCTGTAGACCAGGCTGGCCTCAAACTCACAGAGATCTGTTTGACTCTGCTTCCCAAGTGCTGGGATTAAAGGTGTGCACCACCACCACCTGGCCTCAGTTCAGTTTTCTAATAGGGCTCTTAGGGTCACCATGCACAATGAGTGGGAGGGGCTGGGGCCGGTGTCTTCCTTCTGCTTTGGTGTTCTGTAGTCTCATTTATTTTCAAGTGTGCTTTTCCAGCTTATGGTTATCCTTTTTGTTTGGCTAGTCTTAGGATGGGGGTCTCGTCTCCCAGGCTGACCTCAACCTGTGATCCTCATAGCTGAGACTGAGAACTGTGGACCTGAGCTACCAGGCCAGCTTTATGTCTGTCTTCCTAAGGGGTGCCACTGAACTGGACAGGCATGTCTTTGTTCCCTGTTTCTCTTGGGACAGCTTCCTGGTTCTGAAGTCTAATATTCTGTTCTCATGATGCTTTTTGTTAGGTTCATAGCAGAGCATGGAACCTCTCGTCTTCTGGATCATGTGGGCCAACTAGATAAAGTATTCAAGATTCCCCCGCTCCCAGGAAAGACACAGGCACTGTCTCTACGGCCCCTGGAGGAGGACATCCCAGGCCCCTCGGGTCCTATTTCCCAGCATGGGTTAGTCAAGGTTCTGTGTCTTCGTGAACTGGGAGGGTTACCATCAATCAGAACCTGGAGAAATCCTGTGACTGCCATTCTGTCTGCTAAGGTGGCATTTGGTGTATTTACTCCTCCCTCCTCCCCAGGCAGGGGCTTCCTGGAAACTGTCAGATTGTGACAGTTTGTGTCCTTGCTTTACTAGAAAAAAATAATGTTTGAATGAAGAGAAGGCAGCAGACTCCATGACTATATAGTCAGGGCTTAGGCAAAAGGTTTATAGCACAGATTCTAGCTTTTCACACAGGCTTTGCCAAGCGATAGCTTAGATTGGTTGTTTAATTTCTTAAAGATACAGTTAAGGATGAGGTTAAAGTTTGCCTCAGAGTATTGCCTTGATCAAATGATAACTTCGTAATAATGATTTTCTGAAGAAAGGGGCACATAAGAGAAATGGCAAGTGGAACTCAGATTTCAGGTTTTTGCAGTTGGTCCCACAGCCAGGTTATTCTCTGGAGGCCTGTAAGACATACTTCTGCTTGTAAGAGTTTATGCCAAGTGCCGAAGGGTGATTGCACCTATGTCTGTGGACTTGAGATGGGGACCCGATCCCTAGGCTGAGCCCAACCCTCCCCTTACCTCTAGGTGGCGCAATGTCCGACTTTTCATTTCATCCACTTTTCGTGACATGCATGGGGAGCGAGACTTGCTGATGAGATCTGTGCTGCCAGCACTGCAGGCCCGAGTGTTCCCCCACCGTATCAGTCTCCATGCCATTGACCTGCGCTGGGGTGTCACTGAGGAGGAGACCCGCAGGAACAGGTACAGGGACACGGGGAGGAAGGGTTGGGATGAGAGGATGGAGTGGTGTAGCCCAAGTAATCATGGTGGGACTGCAAGAACAAATGATGGGAGGGCAGGGCTTTGC